TCTTCTTCTTCTTCTTCTTCTTCTTCTTCTTCTACAAAAGATCTTGACGATTGAAGCAAGTGATCAAATACGTTACCGTCAAGTGTGGCTTGGCTGCACTCAACCAAACTCAAGGCCAGCATTGGCTTCCTGATCGGTTTTGATCAACCCACAAAATTGAGGGTTGGTCGGTATTATATAGGACAATTTGAGCGACATAACTGTCTAACCCACACAGTTTCATTAAAAGCAATTTTTAAAGGAAAAAAAGTTCTACAGATTTTCGGTAAAGTGTTTTTATAGGTGTTTAAAGTAAAGCATTGATTTATCGTTAGGCGCCTGTGTTTTGAAATAAAACAGTTTTTTCCTTCTCCTGTAAAACTTACCTCGCTTGGGTTAGTCGGTTTTATCACAATTCTTTTATAATTATCTTTCTTTCTTTGATTTTGGAGGTACATATCTGCCGCTGCGTGATCTTACAATTTGTGTGATGGGTCGTTTATAATGCTTTTTATCTTTTTTATACGTGTGTTTTTTATTTTGCTGTCTGCAACACGCATTTAAAGAGTCACAAGGAGATGTCTTCCTCCACTGGAGAACTGATGGGTCGCTCTTCAATCTTGCTTGACTCAAGGCCAAGACCAAGATCAACAAAACAACAGTATGAGACCTTCTATTCGCCGATGATGCTGCTCTTGTTGCTCATAGTGAATCAACCCTACAAACAATGATGGACCGCCTATCAACAGCATGCAAGGTCTTTAGCTTGGTCATCAGTGTTAAGAAAACAGTCATCCTTACCCAAGAAAGTGCAGAGCAGAGCCATATATGGCTGAACGACAAGGAACTTGGGACAGCGGACAAGTTCTGTTACCTGGTGTCTACCATCAGCTCTACTACATCACTTTCCTGTCTTCAGCTATTTCTTCCCAGATGCTAACATCTACTCCAAGCTTAGATAAGCGGTTTTTGCAGGTGTCTTTGTACCTCAATTTTGGTCGTCTTCTTGGTCTCTTTCCCTGGGCAAGTTCTCCATAGAGCTCTGAATCCGGCTGTCGTCCATTCTCTTGACATGGCCCAGCCACCGCAATCTTTTTAAACACATGATAGTTGTCATGCTCTGGAGGTTTGCACGTGCCAACACTTCAACTTGTAACCTTGTCACGCCACGAAATGCCTAGGATCTTGCGGCAGCATCTGAGATGGAAAATGTCTAGGCCGCTTTTCTTGTCTGCTGTACAAGGTCCATGTTTCAGATCCATAAAGGAGTGTGCTGAGGACACATGTTTCGTAAATTTTGATAGTCAATCTTTCGTTTTCGCCTTCCAAAAGTTGTTGCTGCTTTCCCTATCTCATAATCAAGTGATGTAGTAGAGCTGATGGTGGACACCAGGTAACAGAACTTGTCCACTGTCCCAAGTTCCTTGTCGTTCAGCCATATATGGCTCTGCTCTGCACCTTCTTGGGTAAGGATGACTGTTTTCTTACCATGGTTCCGCTGCGAGAGAGGGCTTCTATCAGGCGTACGTTGCTCCCCTCCATTATTGTATAAAGCCTAGCAGCCACATGGCCAAAATCTAGAGCGTGAGTCCGCTCGATTAATCGAAGGCTTGCGAGCAGCGAACGGCTAGCGAGCAGGCTTGTGCTTTGCTTTGCCTCCCGCTCGCTACCGGGGGGAATTTCCTGTGTGTTGTAACTCGCAGACAGTTTTGCTGTACTGTATCGTGACGTCGCGAACTCTCGTGGCTGTGGGCTCAGTACATATTACAGAAGATTCTGGTTATTTGCGTTGAGAGGCTTGTACCAAAAGTGTAAGATTGGTGGGGCTTTTTTTTCCCGTAGTCGGGTTGTAAAACAGAAAAAGCTCTATTCAATGCACTTGAAAATTAATAATAGATCGGCTATTCTTACGATGCAAAGGCCGAGTTTTTTTTAATTTGCACGGGCCAAGCACTTCGTCATCGCACGCGAAAGACCCCAGTTGGATTCCCGTATGGGTAGAAATTTTTACCGAGATCCTCCGTCTTTCTACTGGGGCGTTGTTCCCTCTCAGCCCTGACATTGGGTTGAAGTATGCCCATTCCGTCTCCTAAATTAATCCCATACGGGAATCCAACTGGGGTCTTTCGAGTGCGATGACGAAGTGCTTGGCCCGTGCACATTAAAAAAAACCTCGGCCTTTGCATCGTAAGAATAGCTGATCTATTTCGATTATGTATTATGTCATTGTGAGTGTAAAACATCTACTACTAAATAGGCTACAGACATACGATACAATAAAAGCCAATCACAACGACCCTTGGAGTTTTCCATTTTAAGGTAATCTAAGTCTACATATTACTACCAGAAACCTAGCAATGTTGTTACAACAACACCACGCTTTCTCTCACTTCATCCACTCGCTCAGCTGATCTAGGGCGCGGAGTTAAAAATAGCTTCGGCTCTCTACCTCTTGCACTAAAACAAGCTCAGCCTCTCGCTTCCTCCACTGTTCATTTTTCACACTGCGAGCGGTTTTGCTGTTCGCTGCTACGAAAGTGGCTTGCCAGGTTGCGAGCAAGTCATTGGAGGCAAATCAAATCCTGGGACAAGTGTCTTGCTGTGCTGCGAGCGGGATTTGAGACTTGACGGTCGTCCGCTGCTCGCAAGAGCAGACTCCAGCTCTACCGTGCAGTGAGACTGTGGGTAGTGCGAGCGGGGTCTCTCTCTCCCTTTCTTTTTCAGACGTAAGTGGCTTCGCGGATTGCAAGCAGGGTGGGAGGATGAGGAGGTCTGACACGAGTGGCTTCGCGGATTGCTAGTTGGTATGGACTTGAAGCTCAGGCTTGGGGATTTGATTTGATGATTTGACCTAGTGATTTGAGGCTTGCGACTTGAACTAGGGGCTTGTGAGCACGAGCAGGTTTGTTACCGGAATACAGCTCTAGTTGGGGGGCCTCCAGCCGATCGGTAGCACAGGGCCTCGAGTTTCTAAATCCAGGCCTGTCATAGGGGCTCCAAGGGGTGAATGCAACAGAGAAGTCTTTGCAAGGAATCGGGCTGACTCTGCCACCTCTCTAGCTTCAACAGCACAAAGTCTTCTTGTTGTGTTGTGACATGCGATATTTCTAGACCACGCAGTTCGCTTTGCTGCTGGGGGTGAGAGTTGTTGACGATAGTGGGAAAGAAAACGTAGCAGTTCCGTGTTGCAGTTCAGGCACAGTTATGAGCCTCACAGACGTAATCCCCACGTACTCGTCTACGATCAATCGATGTCCAAGTATCACACGGTGTACTTGCATGTGTTGTGACATGCGATATTTCGCAACTTGCCCAGGTGCCCTCCACGATTTTTTTGCCTTATCCGAGAAGGCTAGGTGTTAGATCTTACTTTCCATAA